GAACAGTAAGCAAGAAAATCCCAGTATAGTGACCGGTTTCCATGAATTCCCAAATTTCACCAGTTCTAGGCTCAAGTGCCTGTTGCACATCATATCCATTTCTATAATTCTATATATTCTACGCAGCTTTCTAACACACCCAAAATTCTTCGCATACACACATGATAAATATACACATATATCACGATTATTGGGACATATTTTCCCTGGGAGTGAGAGGAAGGTCCATCCGATACTTTTTCCTTGGATACTGATAGCATGAACATCAGATCAAACTTACTGGGTCCTCATATGGACCTTGGTCTGAAACAGAGACCAGGGTTTACAATTCAAAAAACAAAAAGACTGACCGTAATATCAATGTCTATGGAAAAAGAGGAAAAAAAGAAAGGATGAGAGAGCCTAGTTCTTACCTATGAACAGCACAATATGATACCCATTTTGTTATCTGTCTTCCATTCTTCTCCGAGCAATGCAGCTGAAATTTAAATTATGAAATCAATGAACCACTTCAAACCAAAAATGTGAGTGTTTATGGGCACATTGATAAGTGGAAGATTGAAAAAAAAAATCAAACAAGATGTGATAATGGAATCCAAACAATTCAAGTGACTTATTGAGCATGGGGATCTTAAATCCCTCCCTCCCTCCCTTCCTGGTCTAGATTTTCTTTTGGAAATGAGATTCACTTTCTATATTCCTTTACCCTATTCTGCACCATCAAAAACTAAAAACCACTTTAATGCAACAAGAAATCTAAAAGCACTCAACTTGATTTGCAAAATTAGATACTCAGAAAAAGGTTCCAAGTAGAAGAAACATGAGATTCTCAATATTATTAGTGATAGAATAATAGCAGAAATCTCAATTGTTGAAGTTTGAGAACCAAGTGTGTTTTTTCTAACTACATCCAAATTCCCGCATATATAGCTGGAAGTCAGGTTTATGCCCACTCGCTCCTCATCCCTAACCCCAACCAAAGAAGGCTCACTCCAAATTGGTAGGATAACACTGGTAAACCTAATAGCTTCTTGTTTTTTTCTGAAAAACATTATATTGCTCATGATCTTCCTGGCTTGAGAACTCTAATATTAACAACTACAAAATAGGCATGCATATAAGATATAAGAAAATGACAAAGCCGTCAAAATTTCAAATAATATAAAACACCACCTCTGTGTCTTGCAAAAACTAGCTTCACTAAGTTTGGATCTCCAATGAAATTAGAGTTTCAAATTTAATGCCAAAAAACAAATTGTGGAAAAACTTACCTCCATGCAATATCCTGCTCGCGACGCACACATTACATGAAAATAAGTGGCACATTTGCAACACTGCATGCAAGACCCATGAGTCTGCTTGCAAATTACGCACGCCTGTATTCATTCAAATAAAGCACTTTAGATGACAATGGCTGAATACTTAGACCGCCAAATAGCATTTCTAAGTCAGAGAGCTGACAGACAAAACCATATATCATAACAATTGAACCAGTAAAGCCAAGAAAGCCAACTATTGTGTCCGATCAACCATAAAATTAGATGTTCCACTCAAAAAAAAAAAAAAAAGGAATCGAGATGAATCCATTCCTACAATAAAAAGCATTTTGTATGGAAGATAACATTTTGCTTTGTATGCGGGTATGTAATCTCCCCCAGAGAACTACTTTGTTTGAGGCAAGAAGGAAACTAACCTTTGCAAAAGAATATGATGGAATTCTAAGAACTCCAACAGCAGGTTCCATTTTCTCAACATCCAAAAAAGCAATTTCAGGCTGAAACCATGCACACGTGACGTGCACCCACAAGTTGTCAACATCAGCTGGCTTCAGAGCACCCCCTACAGGAGCAGTAATTCAGTTATAATAAAGAATTGCAAACCACAAATGAAACAACATATTATAACAATTAGATTGTCAAAATATCAGATGGAATGCCTTTTACAGGGCAGAGGCAACAGTCTCTCTCAACATCAGGAGTTTCGCATGCTCTACAGACCCATGAAGTGAAATCCTGAGAATTTCTCACTCCATAGCATTCTTGATGGACAGCTATTTGACACCTGGACCATGCAGAAAATCTAATCAGATGATTCTACTTAAATGCTCTACTCAGGTCCAATTTTATGCAATCCAATAACTTTAATTTCACATAAAATCCATAAAACGAATCCAAACTTAAAGATTTATGGATGGTGGGAACACCTGATGCAGATGATAATTTTGTTGTAGTCCCAATCTTCAACCCATCTACAAATAGCACATCGTTCTGTTGTCCATTTTGCGTAAACAGGCTCATATTTCTCTGTCAAAAGGGAAAGCAGTAAAAGCAAATAATCTTCTTGTTGAAAATTAAGTCACCAACAGGTCACAGGTGCTATAAAGAAAAATAATGTCATTGAAGTTTCACAGAGAGAGATATAAGCAAAGCAATTACCTTGCAAAAAAGCAAATAGCTGTTGCTTATCTAACTTTAGAGGATTAAAGCCATGTGCAGTATACTCTGTGATCTGCAACATCTTGAAAGTTAGTCGACAGCATAAAATATACAGATTTATTAACATTTATTAAAGTGAAGCCTTTTACTTAAGAAATTCTTCTCCCTACACAAACAAGAAAGAAAAAAGAAAAGGGAAAAGAAGAAGAAAAAGAAAAATGTGAGTTATAGTGATATTAGGCATACAGTATAGCTCTGAACTGAACAGATAGAAAAGAACACCACGGGATAAAATCACCAACACCATACAAGCATCACAATTAAGCAAAAAATAAAAGGGTTCTGTTACGAACCCATTTTTCCAGCGGCAGCATTGAACCCTTCACTTTAACGCTGAACTTCCATTTTTTGGCTCTGGAACCTGTATGTCGTTCCCATTCACTAAGTGTTTGTTTCCTTTTCCCACATGAACCACACGTACACTCAACTCTGAAATCCAAAGTAAATTCGACTAAATTAAATATCATGCCAACTTGACTAATTCAGATTGCCATAAATCAGCATTGGAGCAACACCAAAATTCACAAATCATGGTCAGTCCAAAACAAACAAGGTGGTCAAGAACTCAGGGGAATGACTTAAATTCAATTTTACGTTTATATTGTACATCATATTTGTTCCTGATATGTTGTTTTATCATACGAAAAAAGGACAATCTTTCTGCCATTTTATCATAACAGAGCAGGACAAAATTAAGGCAACCATGACTCGAGAAGTTCCTGCCAAAGTGGGTATCTAAATTAAGCAACTGGAGCAAAAACAAATGAAATCATTTACAAAAATAATATCTGGCTAATGGTCCGTTTGGTACAAAAGATGGAAAGAAGGAAGGAATGAAAAGTGAAAGATATAAACTTTCTATCCATGAAGGAAAGAAAGTTATTTTCCCTCCTTTTTGTTTGGTATGAGAGATGGAAAATAGAAGGGACATATTTTCCATCGTTTGGTATTAGATGAAAAATGAAAAGAAAGGAAAAACATATATGCCCAATTTACAATTCTACCCTTAAATATATTAAGTGAATTTTTTATTACAAATAAATCCAATTAAATTGAAAAAGCTTTTAATCCCCTTATTTTTGTTACAAATTAATTTTGGACGAATTAATTTTGCTTTGAATGATTTGTAACTATTAATTAAAAAATGACAAAAATGGTATTAATTAAAAATAAGAATATAAAAAGAATTTACACATTGGTGCATTTTCTTGGATAAAAAATGAAGATTCAAAACTAAAAATAATATTTAAATTCTATAATCATAACTTTAAAAAGGAGTGGTGAGCTTCAAGTGGTTAACATCATCAAAAGTAAAATAGGCATAGAATACTATGCACAATAAGAATGGACAAGAGGGCATAATAGTAATTTAGCTTAAACTTTAATCAAGATTCCCTTCTTCTCTTCCACTTTCCTCCCAAAACCGGAAGGAAAAAAAAAAGGCAGGCAGAGTGGATTAAGCTTCCTTCCCATTTTCCATTCCACTGTGTTTTCCTTCCATACCAAACGAGTGAAAACCTTTCCTTCCCCTTCATTTTCCCTCCTCTATTTTCCATCCACCCTTCTTTCCATCGTACCAAACACAGGGTAAGTAATTGTGAATTTAGGATATCATATGGACATATGAAATTAAATCATATTTGAAAATTTTGGCATGAAAATATACCAAAATAAAATGATTTCATTTTTTGGGTCTAAAAGCCAAAGGTGAAGTTTGACTACAAAACGGGGTAAGCCCTCCCTCTGCCAGATATCAATGCCCCACTTCTTCTAAAACCAGATAGAGGTGAGATCCAATATCTGGTCCTCAACTCTCTTGCCCTTGTCCTACCTTAGATGAAGATGGACTAGCCATGTTCAAAAAGGCTGAAATTATGTAATTACAACTGTAAGCTGATGACCATCAACTACAAAATCAACGAGCATAATTCTAAACTAAAATTTGGGGTACATGCACAGGTTTGACCACATTTTCAGACTTCAAACAACAGATTTCCAGAATGTAAAAGAACAATGCAACAAAAACATTTTGGTAAAACTCATGTTTATGCATGAGAGCTTACAAATGAAGACTTGGATAATAAATCCCTTCCATGCCAGTGCAAACGACAGTTATTTTGTCAAGAAGCACAGTTTGTCCATTGTTTTCCGTTGACCTGTTTCGTATGATTGTCACAGTATTAGCATATTAACTTTTGAGAAAGTTATTACGCTTTCACATGCGTATAAACTGCATGGAAAGATTAATGGTATGCACTTGTGAGGTACCTGACTTCAGGTTGCCATTTCTCTGATACTGGCAATCCACAATCAGGCTTTGCCGTGCATTCAGGGCAGTAATAATCAGCATCTTCCAAATCCTTTAAAGCATTTTTTAATTAGTAATCCTTGCCATCTCATGAACTTAAGTAAGGAAACCCAACCACAACAATGCAAATAGGTATGATCCACGGGTATACCTTAAAGAGCTTGCAGGAAAAATTGGCACACTCAGCGTGAACCCAAACGTCACAGCCATCACAGCATACCTATTCCAAAGATTTTGTCCAATCAAAAGTCACAAAAATCGATCATTTTTCTTGCTCGAGTAAAGAACAGTAGACCCAATTAAACTAATATAGTCTCACCCAATTCCCTCCATCTGAGTGATGCCAAATCTTCTTGCATATGCCACAATACTGCTTTGAATTTCGTAACTGCAACAACCATAACATTACTTAGAAACAAACTTGCACTTCAAAAATATACAGGTACATTATTTATAAACAAAAAATTAGCAAAATAAGTTACTTATCATTCGAAACCTTAGCACAATGTTCACATAAAAACTGGGCTTTAAAATTTGTGCTCTTCATTTTCTTCATTATTTTGCATGGAAGAATCAAGCCACAGCTGTCACAGGTCCGTGTGTCTTTCTTCTTATCACACACATTCTGCAAAGAAAGAATCAGGATGAAGTCAACCCCCATTTCAAAAGCATTGCTAATGGAACTAAATAAGAATAACAAAAAGAAAAAAGGAATTGGACATATCCTACGATTTACATGATCTTGTTACAGATATTCATTTTAGATTTCAAAGAGATCAATAATCTGCACAATAGGCAGGAGTCCTCCATCTTAATATCAACAGATAATTAACTGAAAGGCATTCAATGTTGCCCAGTGATAGATTAATCAACTATCAGTCAATTATTTTAATAATCATGCATACAATAAACAAGAAAGCCTCTAAAAAACATTCTGGATCCACTCTCGTATCCTGGATTTTTCATTAGACATAATTTATTTGCAGATAAATGAATTTGTATATTTGCACGCATATGGGTGCATCCTCCTTCCAAGGCCATTTTAGTGAAACATACTATCAGCTGTAAAAATAAATAAACAAAACAAAAGAAACATAACTTTTAACAATGATACAGCCATCTTTGCATGGTATAAAATATAAATGTTTTACCAAAAAGTGAACAGATATGAACAAAAATATATCACAACATTCACTTTTAGATACCTAGAATCAACTGGATGTAATAATTCTACCAGATCCTTACCTCCACAAGGAAGACAGAAAAGCTCTCTATATGTTATTACATGTGATGAAATCATTTTCACTTTTCCCACTTTAATTACTACTATGAGACCTTAATCTGTTGACAGAAAAAGGGTGACAGCAAACCCAATTTTACAAACCTTATTGTTAAACAAGCTTGTCACCAACTCATCGTAGAATCACAAAAAATTGGAAACATTTTTCCAAAAATCTCCCCATACATTACAGTGTACTATAAGGTCTTAATTCATACCCTAAACCTCCAGACACTACCAAAATATCATGACTATCTGGGTTCAACTCTTGCACTGTACTTGAACGGACATTTAATATTAATGTTCTTCAAGTGTGTAACCTTCCGAAAGAAACTAATATTGTCAGACTGACTACTAACTTTCATTTTCATTGAGTTGCAAAATAATATCATTGTTTGCCCCAAATATGTCATTGGAATTTACACAAAGACAGAAAAAATACAAGAAAACTGGCCATGCAGGAACTTGCCTGGTTATGGAAACAGTATTCCTGATCCAGATTCAAACCAGTTGCCTCTTGGATTTCATCATTATTTGCAACAAGATAAGTTTCCTGGACAGTACGAAGGTCTGTATCAGTGTGGCCATGTTCTGCCAAAACTGCCTCCTCTATTGCCACATTAAAATCACTTGGCTTGCTTCCATATAACTTAGTCTGGCCGCGAAATCTGAGCAAGAAAACACAGTAAACTCAAACGCAATGATATAGAAGCAAACATTATGTAATCCAAGCACAATATAATTGCAGTTTTGGTTAACTCCGTATTGCACATACCTGTCCATATACTCCTGAAAAGGGAAAATCATTCCATCCTTCACCCATCCATAATCCTGCCAATAACAAAAACTTTAGGTCCTAAAGTAGCTGTAAGAACACATGTCCACATATAAATATTTACATCAGTCACTACGTATGTCCAATGACGTTAACAAAAAAAAAAAAATTAAGCATACATGTACTGTAGTATAAAAGGAGAGGAGCTAACAAAACAGAGAGAAGGAGATATAAAATTACCCTCTTTCCACTTTTTGAAAACCCATAAAACATCACACAGATAGTGTCAGGGACACAAGCCCTCAGAACTCTTTCTGGAGCTTGACATAGGGGGTCGATCACAATAGCCGGCCAAGCTGGGTATTTCTTCCCACATTTTGCCCAAACAATGTCACCCAGAACAAAGTCCTGTGGCTTATAAAAATCCTCCTTCCTTTCAGCCTCCTTCTTCTCCTTCTTCTCCAACTTCTCCACCCCTGTAAATTTACTAGCAAACCTTGTTAGATATTCATCACTATCTACCAATGGCAAAAAGTTCCCATCATTAATTGACGTTATCGAACTGGGCATTTTGTGGTCCAAATCCCTGGTATCGACACACCCCACTTCCGCTTCTTTACGACTAAGCTTATGAAGCTTTTGGCGGCTAAACCCGTCTTCTATGCGACGTTTCTTGAATTGCACATTACCATGAGGGCTTTGGCGATTAATTCTCTTTTTACTGAACATTACATTCCGAGCACCACCATCATCAGCATCAAAACATTCTTCATACTCCTCAACCTTTGATTTCTTATTACTCCACGACTCTAAAACCGTATCATTGAATTTAGTCGGAAGAACCTGAACTCGCCCTCGCGAAGACTTGAATAAGGGAGGCCGATAACCCCCCGCTCCCTTAGGTATACCTCTTCGACCTCTCTGAATCCTCGGATTTAATTCGACTTCTCCGACATAGCATGAGACACTGGAGTACCAAGAATTTACAATGCCACTATAATCCTCAAACTGATCTTCATCAATTTGATCGAAACTATTTAGAGGAACGGAGCACGACACGTCTGTGCTTCTCTCCTTCCTACTCACATAACACGCGTCTTCGTCGTCATCTTCACAATCAATTTCTTCAAATTGACACCGTTTCAAATTCGGCGTTTCGAATTTCATCGTTCGTTTAATAATCATCCTACTTGTCAATATAATTCTACCATTGAATTTGAAACCAACAAATTTCACCTAATAAACCCGAAAAACCGAAACCCTAATTTTACATCGGACCATCAAAAATCAAACAATTCCAAACTCAAAATCGCGTTTTAAAATTAGGCAGACTATTTCCGATTTCGGATAGCCGATAATTCCTTCGGCATAAATTCCAATACCAACCTCGATTCAGGAGAATCTGGTACGAAACCCTAATTTAAACAATGGACGGCAAAACCAACGAAATTCACCAGACCTATACGAAATCTACTCTCAAACAAATCAAGGAGGGAAAATCCGGCAAACTTTGAGAATCCAATCTTCGAATCTATTAAAGAAGAAACTACGAGATGAATTTTTCCCAGGAAAATTTTAATTTTCCGAGAAAAACAATCGAATTCGCAGAGGGAAGATTGGAGACGTGTCTAGTCGAACGCAATAGATTTGTTGGGAGAAGGTGAATAAATAAGAAAGAATAAATATAGGTTATATTGAATAAAAAATAGATAAAGTATCATTAAATTATTATAAGAATATTTTTTGGGAAAAAAATTATTTTTTTATAGTAACGGTTGTTTCAGGTTAGATTAGGACTTGGGCTCCAATGTTGCTGTGAAATTCGAAGCGGGAAGAAACTTTTGGGAGGGAGGGAGAGGACGTAATGTGGGTCGCGCGAAAACCAAAAATGGAAGGTAGCATGACGCGTCCTGTTAAAAATATAACAATTCTCAACTTGTCCTTTGAACGGTTAACATTTTCACATTACCTTTTAAAAAATAAAAAATAAAAAATATTGTAATTATGTGATTAATAATTGATTAATTTAATACAAAACAAATGGACTATCAAACCAAAAAAAAAAAAACGATGAACTACATACATTGTAACGTTTTTATTCTTTTTAGAGTTAATGTGAAAAAATTAATAATTTATGTATCTTTCAAGAAATAAAATAGAATTTAAACTTTTTTTATATATTAATCTTTGTTATTGTTTGCGGGTTGTCCAATCGGAATAAATTCGCATAGTATAATTATTCAATAATAGCCGAGGACTCAAAATAGGACTGTTCATTGGGTGACAGTAGCAGTAATGATGGATTTACTCGGTGTGAATTGGGTCAGCTGTCTCCCTCACAAGTTTAAGACTTTTCTTTTTAATGACTGTAATCGTCATTTTCCTAGTTGAATAATACTTCACTTATCTTTGGATCAAAAAACAATAATAAATAATAATAATAATAACTCATAAAGAAAAATGGACTCCACTTATTCAAATAATTATCTCTATCATGTAAGGATAGTAATCACTCACATAAAAAAAAATGAGTTATTTTATCCACTTATTTATTTAGTATTGAACAATTACACTATATAATAATATTAACATGGTGTAATGGTTATACTCAATATTTATTCACGAGCTTATGGTGTTCCAAGGTGTAGATAAATTGAAATAAAAATCCCTAATGTTTATTAATTATTAAAGTTTAGACCTTTGGCAGTTTTAGTCCTTAATAGCAAATCAATAAATACAAAAATATATTAAATTTCACACGGACTATGTAATTAGATCAAATGACACGATTACCTCTTGACAATCTAAAAGATGACATAAAAATTCTAATCAACTTTAAAGTTGATCGGTGCGGATGATTTAAATAAAAATACATTTTGACCCTTCATTTAACTACTAGTCGTACGTGAACCATTTTGAGTTCTAGTTAAGTTGATTTTGTTAACTTTGAATTGAAATATAATAAACTAATAGATAGTCGCACATTTTACCTATAATTCCCGAACTAATTCAGACCAGTGCCATTCAAATTAATACTTTGAACATACAAGGCATTCCTTTTAATGTTGTTGGCCCTTTTGTGGAGTATAGTTTGTATGTGTTGATTCGAATGATGATTCGACTCAAAGTAATGTTGTGTGATTTTTTAATAGAAATTTTTTCTTAGGCTTGGTCCATGTAGCGAAGATTTGGGTCAATTTTTAGCCCGGCGCGTAGTACATATAAAAAATCACTACTTTAATGATTAAGGTTTGATCGAAGTATATAGCCACTCTCTGTAATTCCGTTTTCTCAATAGTGAAATTCCTGCAGTTTCGTAGATATAGGCAAATTGTTGAACCATTAAAATATTTGTGTCTTGTTCTTTCTTGTTTCTTATTATTTTATGTCATTGGTTTGTTTTTCAATTGTTTGTATTTGTCTGTGAGTTTAAAGCGTGTTAAATCTCAACGGATGTGAATATACCAATTATCAATGAATGAAACTAAAAATAGATCAATTTCTTAAGCAAATGAAAATAACTGATACCACCTAAGTTCATCAAACATTAGCAACTTCAAATATTAGTGTGGGTGTTCTGCCATAGACTCATTTGGTACGTATAAGTTAGCATAGAATATCAAGTTAACCACTATATCAGACATCATCTGCATTTGCAGTTTTGCATAATGTTGCTTGAAAATCATCTTGTACCCTACGACATTTATATAATAAAATAAGAGTATATTTAAATTTTGTTTCAGTCATATTTTTCCTCTTAAAATCATTACCAATGATTTACCTCACCCATCATCCCTTTGTCAGACTCAAACGTCAAATCGCATCACTTATTTCTATCATATGTTTAAGCATTTATATATTTCTTACCTAAAAACATCACGTCACTCATTTCGATCATATATTTAATTATTTAATATTTGATTAATTTGTAGTTAATATATTTTAAAAAATATTAATATAATGGGATCGATTTTTTGGACGTTCGAATTTTATATTTTATCGTGCCGGGTTATGAATAGTGAATCAATATGTATACTCTTTTATCATATGGCAATTTCACCCTTCTCATAATCTCCTTCCAACAAAGAAGTTTACCAATTTCTTCAATGTTCCTTTGTTCTTCTTGAAGTTCCTTATCATTCAAGTTGATTGGAGGTCGAAAAAGCACCTAATAACCACTGGGACAGAGAACTCGATCAACTTCCTTCATGTCTATTACTTATGGTAGGAAAAATAATTCTGGAAAACAATCACCCAAACAGCCGCACAATCCAAAGAAATTCGAAAACAATTAAATAGAATCTTACACAAACACAAGGAAAAGTGGAGTAACAAGACATTAGTTTATATTACTCACCATTTGCTCCCCATGGAATCAAGCAACGAGAACAGTGAGCCTACCACATCCATCTTCATCATTCACATCATTATACTGGACTTTTATCTATCTCTGCAAAGCCTGCAAGACTATATACCATAACCAGCAGCCTCGGAACAGTTGTACCTTTTCATTAACCTTGAAAAGTAGTGAATTCCAATGCTGGTGTTCAACAGGCTTATGGGAGATCAACCTCGAATTCAGGAAATTATACTTTAAATTCTAGTAGGATGGTTCATATAGTATCATCTGACGCTTCCTTTTAGCACCTAGCCTTGCATCCTCTCCAAGGCTAAACTATTCATCTTCAAACAAATCAGGGGCCAAAGCACGAGAAAATTGGTTGATCAAGATAGTCACCCAATTTACTCAATTTGAAAGGCTTCACTCGGTTGCTTTGAAATTGCCTAAAGCAAAAATAAATTCTGGTTAACAAATCATGTGGTTCACATTTCGAGTAATTAAAGAAATTTGTGGTGAAGAATTAAAGAGGGACGGTGGGGGAAGGTGAAGAGAGGGGGCTTGTTCTTAGTTGATTTTTTAAAACGCATGGGAGAGTAAGAACATTTGGGTCGTGAGTAAAGTAGGAGAGACAGAGACAAAAAAAGGGCTGAAAAAAATGGAGAGACATACAGAGCTAATTATGTTTAGTCTATTATGAAGAAATGGATGGTATAATTGTGTTGTTGGAGGGTAAATGTTGGAAAAAAAATATTTTTCAGGTATAGTGATATATTAAAACAGTATAGATTAATGAAAATAAAATAAACAAATATATATTTAACTCATAACTGAAGCCATCGCTGTACTTATATTAGGCCAAAACTCATGACTCATGCCCAGTTACCAACCCAACCCTTCATTCCTGCTTGCAAAAAAACCAACACCTTCAGACTCTATCCCTCATTTCAAAATCCTCCCCTGTAAACACCCTCCAACAACCCCCCCCTCCATCAATCCCAACCCGCAAAAGATCTCGAGAAAAAAAAAAAGAAGAGATAGAGAATAACCAAAATGCATATCTAAAAATACAAAATCTCAAGCGAATAATTGAGAAATCAAAGTTATCCAAAGCGTAAACCACTCGCCACGATTCCTAATCAAATTAAAATGTGTACTAAGAAAATTAACACAAATTGTCTATGCATGTTTGGTGTTCAATTTCAACGGTGGTGGTTGTTGCTAGTGTTACTATGGTGGGTGTTGGGTTCAATCTCAACTTTGGTGGCTATTTGGTGTGGTGAGCACTATTTTTGTGTTGGTCGTTGTTGGGTGGTGTGTTAGTGTTTTATTTCATTTGTGGTGGTTATTTAGGTGATGTTTGTTGTTGAATTTCAGCTAGTTAGTTTTTTTTTTTAACTAGTTATTGTTCATTTGGTGTTCAATTCTCAAAATAGGGAATGTGGATTACGTGGTGGAGGATGGGTGATGGTGGTGTGGTGTGTGCAAGGAGAGAGATGTGGGAGAAATATGAGAAGTGAGGTTGTGAAGGTGTTAATCGTATATTTGGGGCAAATTAATATTAATTAATATAATTTAAACAAATTAATGTTGTTCACCAATGAAAATTGCATTTAGCACAAATTTAATTTAATTTAATGAATTTGGGGGAAAAATTAGACTAATTAATAATATTGGTTTTTATTAATGATAATGATTTGATTGGTTTGACTTTGAGACAATCTTGATAATTTTTCATTATTTTAGTACTTTGGTTATAATTTTTACCCATATAACATGTTGAGCTGATTCTTGCAGCATCGTAAAGAATACTTCAATCCCTACAAAA